GAAATTAGATTTTAAAGGTAGCAGTAAGGGCCGGCTGTGTTCTGAGATTTTGGGAGCCCTACAGAGTTTGTCTCTTCCCTAAGTTCCTCCTCATTCAGTTCATTGCCATGACGAATTTAAAGGAACTTTATTCTTGTGGTTTAAGTAAAATATGAGTTTTGTGTAGTCTTAAAGTCCCATACTTTTGGGAAACCCCCTTTGGGTCCCCTCCCATTGTATGGGAGCTCTGTTTTCACTCATTACATCTTGCAACTGCACACTCTTCTGGTCTGTGTTTGTTCCTGCTTGAGCTGAGCTTTCGCTCACCGTCCACCATTGCTGTTTGCCACCATCATAGACCTGCCATTGACTTCCACCCCTCTGGATCTGGCAGGGTGTCTGCTGCGTTTCTGATCCAGCGAGGCGCCCATTGCCGTTCCTGTTTGGGCTAGAGGCTTGCCATTGTCCCTGTGTGGCTAAGTGCCCGAGTTCATCCTAATCAAGCTGAACACTAGTCACTGGATTCCATGGTTCTCTTCCGTGACCCACGGTTTCTAATAGAGCTGTAACACTTACCACATGGCCCAAGGTTCCATTCCTTGGAATCTGTGAGGCCAAGAACCCCAGGTCACAGAACAAAAGTCTTGCTGCCATCTTGGGAGCAGCTGCCACCATCTTGGGAGCTCTAAGCACAAAGACCCACCTATAACATTTGGTGGCACCCATACAGGGATTCTCCAAAGCAGTGAGTAATATTGGACCACTTTCGCTTGCTATTCTGTCCTATCCTTCCTTAGAATTGCAGGAAAATACTGAACACCTGTCGGCCAGTTAAAAATGATTAGCGTGGCTGCCGGACTTAAGATTCAGGTGTGAGGTTTCCTGGGAAAAGGCTTTCTAACAACCCCCAACCCTTCTGGACTAGGGACATTGGTCTCCCTGGAACCAGCTTCTGCTTTCACAGTTTCCTGGGGGAAGCTGAGGGCCGACTAGAGGCAGAAAGCTGCCATCCCGAACTCCTGGCATTGGCCAGTCGAGATCATGGTGCAGCCAGAGGTCTCTACTCAACAGTGGCCCATGAGTGCACCCCTACCTCTCTTTGTGACCCATACCTCCTCGGTCCCGACCACAACTTTCTTGAAAGTGTAGCCCCCAAGTTCTCCTTACCTCTGATTGTACTTCCTCTGATCCCTGCCTCCTAGATACTAATGCTTCAGACTTTCACTTCCTCTCCAAGTATTAGAGTAAGTTGTATCTTCAAAGGGATCTAGGGAAGTTCTACGCTGTGTCCTTACGCATGTAGACAATGAACTCAGGGAGTCTTGTCCCTAGTGCCCCTCCCAATTTAGGTATATAGCTCTTGACATTGGCAGTTATATGGGACCTGTTCCCCACCATCCTTGCTAGGGCCCCAAGTTCTATTATGAGCTGTGGCCCCAAGTTTGTAAATGGCTAGGAAGATTGCTCTCCCATTGTGTAAGACGCTCTTCTCCCCCAATTTCTACCCAGCTTACCCCTCTGCAATACAATCTCCAAGTCTTAGCTCCTTGTCCAGGACCTTAGGACTGATAACCCAGTACTTTGACAACTGGAACTAGGTCTATGACAACATAATAGATCAGGATGAAAGTGAATTGAGTAAATTATAGGGAGGCGCATGTTCCTATAGTGGCAAATGGGGGCAATGAGCGAACGTCCTTCCACTGTTCCCAGAATCCATCTACAAAAATAGAGAGAGGAAAGAGAGTGAGAAAAGAGGGTAAAAGGGAAGAGAGAGGGGAAAGAGAGAGAGAAAGAGAGAGAGGAGAGAGAGAGAGAGAGGAAAAGAGGGAGTCAAAGAAAGAGAAAAGAGGGGGGGAAGAGAGAGAGAAAAGAGAGAGAAAGGGAAAAGAGAAAGGCAGAAACAGGTAGTTAGAAGTAGTAAAGAAAAAAACAGTGTACCCTATTCCTTTAAAAGCCAGAGTAAATTTAAAACCTATAATTGATAATTGAACGTCTTCTCCATGATCCTGTAACACTCCAATACTACCTTGTTGTCAGTGCAAACGGGTGTAGCCCGAAAGCACTGAGAACACTGACAATCAGTAGCCTTCCTATCAAAAATCCTTAACCCAGTAACCCGCAGATGGCCCAAATGCATTTAATCTGTAGCGGCAAATGCTGTGCTAGCAGAAGAAAGTAGAAAAACAACTTTTAGAGGAAACCTCATTGTGAGCACACCTCAGAGCTATCCTAAGTAAAAAAAGCAGAAAGGTAGCTTACTAACTCAAAAATCTTAAAGTATGGGGCTATTCTGTTAGAAAAAGATGAGTTAACATTAACCACTGAAAATTTCCTTAACCCAGTAGATTTCCTAACAGGGGATTTAAATCTTAATTACCATACAAAAGTCCGACCAGACCTAGGAGAAATTCCCTTCAGGACAGGATGATAGATGGTTCCTCCCCGGTGATTGAAAAAAAAAAAAAAAACAAAAAACTGATTGGGTATTCAGTAATTGATAGGGAAACTCTTGTAGAAGCAGAGTTAAGGCAATTGTCCAATAATTGGTCTGCTCAAAGGTGCAAGCTGTTTGCACTCAGCCAAGCCTTAAAGTACGTACAGAAGCAAAAAACTTTATCTCAATCCTGACTCAAAAGGTTACCTACACCCCCTCTGAAACAAATTTGCATAAGAACTGTTGTTTATGGGAATGCATCTTGATGGGGCAGCTGGGTTGTTAAGAAATACTCAGGAACCCTGCCCAGCTCTAGAACTCACCCATTAGTGCAAAGGCAATGTTAGGCATGCTGGTAAAGGACCACTAGAATCCAGCAGCCCACCGCTTTCTTTGTGGTCAAGAAAGGCGGGAAACCAGGTGCAGGACTGCTATATTGGTGAGCGTAACTAATCTGATGAGCAGAGGTTCATGGGTGGTTATGCGCCCTGGAAAGGAATAAGCACTAGGACCATCAAGGATGCTCTATGACTAATGCTCATCGGAAAATGACTAGCAGTGCTGGCATCCCTATGTTCTTTATTCAGATGGGAAACGTTCCCCCCAAGGCAATAACTCCACTAAGATATATTCTGGAGAATTCGGCCCAGTCAGAGTGTATGTACCTTTTCCCTCTCAGACTTGAAGCAAATTAAAATAGACGTAGGTAAATTCTCAGACAACCCTGATGACTATATTGATGTTTTACAAGGGTTTGGACAATCCTTTGATCTGACATGGGGAGATACAATGTTACTGCTAGATCAGATACTAACCCCAAATGAGAGAAGCGCCGCCATAACTACAGCTTGAGAGTTTGGCGATCTCTGGTATCTCAGTCAGGTCAATAATAGGATGACAACAGAAGAAAGAGAGCAATTCCCCACAGGCCGGCAGGCAGTTCCCAGTATAGACCCTCACTGGGACACAGAATCAGAACATGCAGATTGGTGCCGCAGACATTTGCTAACTTGTGTGCCAGAAGGACTAAGGTAAACTGTGAAGAAGCCTGTAAATTATTCAGTGATGTCCACTATAACAAAGGGAAAGGAAGAAAATCCTACTGCCTTTCTGGAGAGAGTAAGGGAGGCATTGAGGAAGCATACGTCGCTGTCACCTGACTCTATTGAAGGTCAACTAATCTTAAAGGATACGTTTATCACTCAGTCAGTTGCAGATATTAGAAAAAACTTCAAAAGTCCACCTTAGGCCGGGAGCAAAACTTAGAAACCCTACTGAACTTGGCAACCTTGGTTTTATATAGTAGAGATCAGGAGGAGCAGGCGGAATGGGACAAATGGGATAAAATAAAAAAGGCCACCACTTTAGTCATGGCCCTCAGGCAAGCAGACTTTGGAGGCTCTGAAAAAGGTAAAGGCTGGGCAAATCAAATGCCCAATAGGGCTTGCTTCCAGTGCAGTCTACAGGGACACTTTAAAATAGATTGTCCGAATAGAAATAAGCCACCCCCTCATCCATACCCCTTATGTTAAGGGAATTACTGGAAGGCCCACTGCCCCAGGGGATGAAGGTCCTCTGAGTCAGAAGCCACTAACCAGATGATCCAGCAGCAGGACTGAGGGTGCCTGGGGCAAGCGCCAGCCCATGCCATCACCCTCACAGAGCCCTGGGTATGCTTGACCATTGAGGGCCAGGGAGTTAACTGTCTCCTGGACACTGGCACAGTCTTCTCAGTCTTACTCTCCTGTTCCAGACAACTGTACTCCAGATCTGTCACTATCTCAGGGGTCCTAAGACAGGCAGTCACTAGATACTTCTCCCAGTCACTAAGTTGTAACTGGGGAACTTTACTCTTCTCTTATGCCTTCCTTATGTCTGACAGCCCTACTCCTTTGTTAGGGAGAGACATCTTAGCAAAAGCAGGGGCCATTATACACTAGAATTAGGAGAAGGAAAAAGGGTAAATATATGTACAGACTCTAAGTATGCTTACCTAGTTCTCCATGCCCACGCAGCAATATGGAGAGAGAGGGAATTCCTAGCTTCTGAGGCAACACCTATCAAACATCAGGAAGCCATTAAGAGATTATTATTGGCTGTACAGAAACCTAAAGAGATGGCAGTCTTACACTGCTGGGGTCATCAGAAAGGAAAAGAAAGCGAAATAGAAGGGAGCCGGTAAATGGATATTGAAGCCAAAAGAGCCATAAATCAGTACCCTCCATTAGAAATGCTTATAGAAAGACCCCTAGCATGGGGTAATCCCCTCCAGGAAACCAAGCCCCAGTACTCAGCTGAATAAATAGAATGGGGAACTTCACAAGGACATAGTTTCCTCCCCTCAGGATGGCTAGCTGCCAAAGAAGGAAAAACAGTTTTGCCTGCAGCTAACCAGTGGAAATTACTTAAAACCCTTCACCAAACCTTTCACTTAGACACTGATAGCACCCACCAAATGGCCAAATCATTTACTGGGCCAGGCCTTTTCAAAACTATCAAGGGCCTGTGAAGTGAGCCAAAGAAATAATCCCCTGCACTTCAGGCCATACATTTCAATCCCTGTATCTTTAACCTCCTTGCAAAGTTTGTCTCTTCCAGAATCAAACTGTAAAACCACAAATGGTTCTTCAGATGGAGCCCCAGATGCAGTACATGACTAAGATCTACCATGGACCCCTGGACCAGCCTGCTAGCCCATGCTCCGATGTTGATGACATCGAAGGCACCTCTCCAGAGGAAATCTCAACTGCATGTCCCCTACTATGCCCCAATTCAGCAGGAAGCAGTTAGAGCGGTCATCAGCCAACCTCCCCAACAGCACTTGGGTTTTTCTATTGAGAAGGGGAACTGAGAGACAGGACTAACTGGATTTCCTAGGCTGACTAAGAATTCCTAAGCCTAGCTGGGAAAGGTGACAGCACCCACCTTTAAACACAGGGCTTGTAACTCAGCTCACACCCGACCAATCGGTAGTAAAGAGGGCTAGCTAAAATACCAATTAGGCTAAAAGCAGGAGGTGAAGAAATAGTCAAATCATGTATTGCCTGAGAGCACAGAGGGAGGGACAATGATTGGGATATAAACCCAGGCATCTGAACCAGCAGTGGAAACCCCCTTTTGGATCTCCTCCCATTGTATGGGAGCTCTGTTTCCACTCTATTAAATCTTGCAACTGCAAAAATAAATAAATAAATAAAAATAAAAATAAAATGCCATACTGTTGTGTTTTTTCACTATAGCATTTATCACTATATAATGTGTTTTACTTATTATCTTGTTTATTTTTTGACACACTAGAATGTAAGCTCCATAAAGCAGGAATTTTTTCCCTGTTTTTCTCACTGCTATTCCATAGTAGATACTTGTGGTAAATACTAAAAAATATATGAATATGTAATTGAAAAGCTTAATTCTTAATTAAGATTGAAATCCTGCGTGGTAAGTTTTGATCAAGTTGGCTCCATCAAGGCATGAATGTCTGTGAACAAACAAATGTGAGCACTCTGCTACTGATGTCTGCCTTCCTCCCTTGTGCCCTCTGTTAACCTCTGATGCAGGTTGTAGGAAGCTGGTGATACCTCCATGTTCTCCAAGTTTTGTTACACTTTCTCCATATGGCTGAGGTCTTAAGATTGCTCTCCATTCTAGACCCAATTTAAGTTTTTATTCCAATGGCCATTCTTGCCTTACAGCTTTTCTGAAATGAAAAACACTTTGCCTTGAAATAGAAGTCCCAGACGCTGAATGCACACCTGCAGTTCCCATTATTGCTCATGTAGATTCTTCACTGCTCAGACTCCTTAATAGGAACTTGCACCTCTTTCACTTGGTATCTCAATGTGCTGTATGCCTGTTGCTTTACTGCAGATCCAAGAAGCTCTCAGGCCAAAATGAAGCACTGGGCTCAGTTAGGTCTGACAAAGCCCTTGTTCCTCTCATTTCTATCTCATATTCTTCTGCAATGATTCTAAGGTATTTCAGACAGGGACAAATAAGGAAGGAACATGAGGTTGCTGATACCTAGAAGATGAGACTCCTAAGAACAAACATTGCCTACCAGCGATTTTTTTGTACAGAAGGTCTCCACTTACATGTTTAGGAAATAAAATACATACAAAAATACCCAAAGAACTTTTTTTCTGCCTTATGTTGGAGAAAGAAGTGACCTAATTATTGTTTTCAACTACATGACGGACTGTGTCCATCTGTTTTTCTCCTCCACCAAGAATAGAACTAGAGGAAACAGGCTTAATCTGTAGCCTGAGCTTTGTAGTTTAAACATAAAGGATAATTTCCTGACAGTGAGTAGTGGATTATAGAATTTGTTTCTTATGAGATTTAGATTTCCATCTGGCTGGGGTATGTTTGATACAGTTGTCTCCGAAATTGGTGGAGGTGGGTGTGTATGTAGGTTAAACGACTCCTGAAAGATTCTTATTCTTAAGCATTTATGATTAACTTCTTAAAAAAAGTCTTACAAATGACTTCATGCTGTCCTAATATTTTTAATGTAGAATAATGTGAATTTTAATTTATTGGAGGAGTGCATTTAAAAATAACTTCAAAATGAATGTTCAGACACTTTTAGAGTGTAGGAGGGCAGATCTTTGAATTTTGAAAAGATTGAACATGATTTACTAAATGTATTTCTGGGTTTGCCCTAGATGAAGCTGTTGTTTAGTTATGTTTTGTATTTCTAAATTTAAGTTCGAATTTGGAAAGAATTTTTTTCATGTGAAAGCTTTGATTTTGGACAATATTGATAGTTGCAAACTTAATGCCCAAAAGTTTAAAGAAAAACTTTATGATAATTATAGTTACTCAACAAGTCAAATGATAGATAATGGTAATAGAAATAAAAGCAGTCCAGTGACTGAATTATACAATATGATTCTTCGAAACATGCGATATAGTTAGAGAATAACTGAAGTAGAAATACAATAACACAGATAAGAAAGATAGATTCGAAGTGACCTCTGGGTTACTTTAGAAATCTGTATAAATATCAAAGTATTGAAATTCTGCTAAACTCACATGTGGGACTTGCATGAAACTATTCATTCAAAAAGAAGTGCAAAATGTTAAAAATGTGAACTTCTTAATCTTGAAAAAAAATGTTAAATGCGAAAGATTGATACTTAAAGAAAAGACTTTTTGATAGTAGGTTGAATACTAATAACCGCATTAAAATCTCCACCAAGTATTTTGTGTATCTTTCAAGACAGAAGATGACTGCTATATTTACTTTCTTGATTCTATTTGAAATTAATTTGTACAAGTACAAATGAAAAAAGAGTGATTTAATTCATGGCATCAACCATGTTTTAATGATTTAATTAGCAAACCTTGAAAGAATACAAAAATTATGCTAAAGGGACTAGGTCAAATGCTGGTATTTGTATAATAATTTAGAAAATATGATTTAATCTTCAGGTCAGGCAGTTCTTTCTTAAATATACAAAGCAATGCCTGGGGTCTTTAGACATATCTAAAACAGGTACATTGTTAAGGATTTTACTGGGCTGACATTTCCCCTTCTGCCTAGCTTTGTTTTAAAAAGGAAAGGGATTCAGAAATCTCAGTCTGGGCACATAGAATAAATTATCTTCCTACAGAATTAAAATTAAAGTGCGAGAAATCTATTATGTAAATGTAAAAGAGTATCTCCAAGAATTTCACAATTCTAGGCAGCACTGGTGAGATGCAGGTAGAATTCACAATTCATATTTGACTACAGTTCATCTTACTGTGGGAATTGAACTACTTTCGCTCTCTTTTTCTGAGACTCTTCTGCCTATTTACTGAGTCTGCCTCTGTATCATTCCTCAGATCCCAATATGATTATATCTAGCCCATGTTTTACTTTATTCAATATGATGGGGTTTTACTCAATATCTTGGTTAGATCTACAGATTTTTACGATAACCCTTTTCATTTTCATTAAAAGGAACTAATTGCTAAGATCAGGCATATCCTTTTGGAACAGGAAACTTTGGATTTGTTGAGATTAGAAAAATTTAGGGATAAAAGTGTAGAGGGTCCTCCATCATTTGTTTGAAAATGAATGATTTGAGTGAGATACACTGAGAAATCATTCTCTATCATTAAACAATAATCTTTTTAGGTTGTATTTAAATATGTTCACAAAGGTAGATTTTAGCTAAAAAAAAAAAATTGGGACCCTATAAGAAGAAGGAGCTTTAAAAGTAAGCCTATTAGTTACAAGATCCACACTTGTAACTTAAAATTAAAGAAATCTCAGGATTTTACCTACAGGCATACTGTTAGTTGTCCACCTTGCAAAATGTATTTTTCTCTGTTTCCTGGGACATGTTCACACAACTAAAACATTACCAGGTTCTTCTGCTGTGAGTGCTGTGTGACAAAGTTCCTTGGCAGGAAATATATGGGCACGAGATATGTGCCACTCTGTTCTCACTCACTCACTTGCTCTGAGCTCACCCTTTTTCCATGTCCTGTAGCTGGAACATGGACATGCTCAAGATTCAACCTGACCATGGGCTGAGAACTATGCCCCAGGGTGTGGTAGAGCACCAGGGTAAAAGGAACATGGCCCCTTGGTAACTGAATGGAGTGGAGCTACTCTCCCAAGCTAGCCACTCACCTTGGGAGGTGTCTGAGAGATCAATGCTTACTTCTTTAACTCATTATTTTCAGGGGTTTCATTAATACAGAAGCCTATCTATACTCTAACCTATTATGTTTTTATAAACAAACAATTTCCAACCAAGAAAAAAATATTAGTTGAATAGTTTTGATAAGATGAGGATTAATAAGAAGGGCTTTAAGCTACACTCCTTTTTATGTTCTTATCTCTTTACCACTTCTTCACTCCTTTAGCTCTACTCTCACACTTTACCCACCCCATTTGTTTCCCCAGACTTCCTGTACAAATTATGGAAACAGACTTTATTGCCCTTTCTGGTTGGGTTTGACCAATAAGAAGTCATGACAAGCTGTCAGAAAGTAGGTGAATGAGGTCAAGGAATTTACTTCCTTGGCTTCCTCTGTGTAAGAGTGCCTTGGACTGTTTTTATTACTCTAACTGAAGGTAACTGCTTCTTTCAAAGTAACCTCTCCTACATAATTCTCTCCTCTTTTGTAGTAACTGCTTCCTCCTCTTGTCCTTTTGATGTTAATAAACCTTGGTTACAGAATCATCTTTTATGGCTCTCCTCACTCTGTTGATATCTTTATAAATAGTCTCTATGTAATTATCTTGAGTGTTAAGATAACTCTCTGTGAATTATCTTCAGTGTTCCATCTGTTTCCTGTTGGGAACCTGACTAAAATGCTATTTGTGCATCATTCTTTTAAGTAAAATGCTATTTGAATGGTGGAAAATAATTTATGATCAGCTTGAAATTATTTTTATGAAGTCATTATGATCATTGAATGGAAATCAGAGGGAAAGTGTGCAATTTATGTTCTAGGTAACTATGCATATATAGCCACAATTATTTTATAGTGAAATCTTGACCTAGAATCAAGTTTTCTTATATCCATAGAAGAAGCTCAGTTAAATTACAGAAAAATTGCTTGGGAAAAACCAACCAAACATACAAAAACAAGACTTTTAGAGAAGAGTGCTGAAGTTAGTTGATTCTCAGAAGTGATAGCTCATGACACTTCATGGCTCAGGGAGGCTGTCAGTAGAAACAGTATCCTCGGGAAACTGGTTGTATATCCTGGTTCTCAAATGCTACCTGGTTCTCTAAAGCTATGGAAAAAGAAACAGTTTGTGCAGTGGGGTTTATCAGCCATTAACATAGAATTAGTCAAAATTCTTTGTATTTTAGTTTGCTGAGAATGATGGTTTCCAATTTCATCCATGTCCCTGCAAAGGACATGAATTCATCCTTTTTAATGGCTGCATAGCCATTAAAATATACGTGCCATATTTTCTTTATCCAGTCTATCACTGATGGGCATTTGGATTGGTTCCGAGTCTTTGCTTTTGTGAATAGTGCTGCAGTATACAAATGTGTGCATGTGTCTTTAGAGTAGAATGATTTATATTCCTTTGAGTATATACCCAGTAATGAGATTGCTGGGTCAAATGGTATTTCTGGTTCTAGATCCTTGAGGAATTGCTACACTGTCTTCCACAATGGTTGAACTATTTACACTCCCACCAACAGTGTAAAAGTGTTCCTATGTCTCCACATCCTCTCTAG